TTATACGCCTGAAAAAAATTCGGCGTATATTTTTATGTCCGTCTGTTAGCATGTTGTTTCCGGTCTGTATATTTTAAACCTGTGGAAGGACATTGAAACTATTTGGCAGAAATATTAACTATAATAAGACAATGTGCAGAGCGCAGGTTTGACCTTTCACAGGTTAAGGTCAAGGGCACACTAAATCATTTTGTATAAATATCAAAATTTTGAGTTCGCTCTGTATCTTTTGAAACGGCAGAATTAAAACTTTTTAGTAGAAATATTACTTATATTGAGACGGTGTGCAGAACACAAGTTCGTACTTCCTAAGATCAAAATTTGCCCTGCCCCGTGGATTAATTGATTTAGGAGTTTTCGTGTCCGGTCTGCATCTTTTGAACCGGTGGAAGGAAATTCAAACTACTTTGCAGAAATGTTAACCATAATAAGACAATCTGCCTCAGGTAAAGGTCAAGGTCACACTAAGTCATTTACATCTATATAAAAAATTTGTGTCCTCTCTGTTCCTTTTAAACAGATTATAGGAAATTAAATCTAGTTGGCAGAAATATTTATTGTTATCAAACTTTATATTTTATAAAAAAAATTCTGTTTAGATTATAATAATTGAGGGGATTATAGGTTTATATGATTTAATTATTTTGAAATAAGACAATCTTATTAACTGAAACTGATGTAACTTAAGATATATAAATTTACTAAATAACAATAGTTGTAAATGATGCATATATAATTTCAATTTTTAAGGCAATTTATCAAAACATTGGTCATGAATGATGTCTGAAGTACCATTCTAGCAGTTGTTAATTTATATTCTACATTAACACAAAATATATGTTCAAAGGAAGAAATACCAATTTTTGAATTGCTGAATTTTAAAAGCTTTAAATCAAGGGAGGTAATAACACATTTTCATATGCCCAAAAAGTATAATATTTATGATAAAGCTCAAGGGAGGTGATAAAACATTTTCATATGCCCAAAAGTATAATATTTATGATAAAGCTCAAGGGAGGTGATAAAACATTTTAATATGCCCAAAAGTATAATATTTATGATAAAGCTCAAGGGAGGTGATAAAACATTTTCATATGCCCAAAAGTATAATATTTATGATAAAGCTTAGATATTTTGAATAAAGCATGCCTTGTTGACATCTACAAAATTTATATAAATCATGCTCAAGGGGTTAATAAGGGTCACATAGACAGAAAAACTTATTTTCATGAATGTATTTTTATGTAAAGTTACAAATCCGAGATCATAGTTATTTGGCATGAATCATTGCATAGAAGAACCCTGCAATTGTTTCAAAAATTATTTCAATGATATTAAAAAATGGCTGTGCCCAGTGGGTTAGTGGGGGATGGTTAGGTTTCGCACAGTTGACATGTATACAGATTAATGTTTAAAAAGTATTTTCCTCCAACCTACAACATACAAGCATAGATATTTAGCATGTATCATCACTTTGTAAAAGTAGAATTATCAGTTTTGTTCAAATAATGAAAGGAGGGAATAAAAAAGAACAATTTTTAAGCATAGCATTTTGATTTTTTTAAGCTTATATTTTGTGCTTTTGAATTTCTAGTATAATTTTATTTATATGATTTATTTTAATTTAAATAATTTAAAAACCAACGAATAACAAACATTAAAACATTATTGTTGCTTTCAGTCAGTATATATACTCCGAAGGTAAATACTTCAAAATGAGTTTTTAAGGGCATGACTGATGACATGTCTGGGGTCTGTACTACACAGCGGAAAGCTGAAGCATATATAATTGTCACTAAGTATTCATTGGACAAGAGCATGTATAAATATAGATCTTTATATTGATAATTGAAATAAACATGTTGCAGACAAATGTTAAAAATTGGTAAAAAATTATTTTTGATTACTTTGAATTTTATTTTCTTAAAACAAATTTGCATTTTGGAGTATATTGCTACGCCTACGCGTGTATATAGTGCATGCTATTCATATATACAAATTATTGAGGCATTCAAGCAGGCAATTTGTTGTATGTATACAAGTGTATGTGTAGAAGGTATACAGAATTAAACAAGGTGTGTTTAGTAGGTATACATTATAAGAATATGTGTTGTAATCATACAGATATCAGTCAGAGTATGTGTTTTATTATACAGATATCAGCCAGAGTATGTGTTTTATTATACAGATATCAGCCAGAGTATGTGTTATATTATACAGATATCACTCCGAGTATGTGTTATAGTATACAGATATCAGTCAGACTATGTGTTATATTATACAGATATCAGTCAGACTATGTGTTATATTTTACAGATATCAGTCAGAGTATGTGTTATATTATACAGATATCAGTCAAACTATGTGTTATATTATACAGATATCAGTCAGACTATGTGTTATATTATACAGATATCAGTCAGACTATCTGTTATATTTTACAGATATCAGTCAGAGTATGTGTTATATTATACAGATATCAGTCAGACTATGTGTTATATTATACAGATATCAGTCAGACTATGTGTTATATTATACAGATATCAGTCAGAGTATGTGTTATATTTTACAGATATCAGATAGAGTATGTGTTATATTATACAGATATCAGTCAGACTATGTGTTATATTATACAGTTATCAGTCAGACTATGTGTTATATTTTACAGATATCAGTCAGAGTATGTGTAATATTATACAGGTATCAGTCAGAGTATGTGTAATATTATACAGGTATCAATCAGAGCATGTGTTGTAGGAATACAGATATCAATCAGAGTATATGTTGTAGGAATACAGGTATCAATCAGAGTATGTGTTGTAGGAATACAGGTATCAATCAGAGTATGTGTTGTAGGAATACAGATATCAATCAGGGTATGTGTTATAGGAATACAGATATCAATCAGAGTATGTGTTGTAGGAATAAAGATATCAATCAGAGTATGTGTTGTAGGAATACAGATATCAGTCAGAGTATGGTTATATTATACAGATATCAATCAGAGTCTGTGTTATATTATACAGCTATCAGTCAGAGTATGTGTTATATTATACAGATATAAGTCAGAGTATGTGTTGTAGGAATACAGGTATCAATCAGAATATGTGTTGTAGGAATACAGATATCAGTCAGAGTATGTGTTGTTATTATACATATCTCAGTCAGAGTATGTGTTATATTATACAGATATCAATCAGAGTATGTGTTGTAGGAATACAGGTATCAATCAGAGTATGTGTTATATTATACATATATCAATCAGAGTATGTGTTATAGTATACAGGTATCAATCAGAGTATGTGTTGTAGGAATACAGATATCAATCAGAGTATGTGTTGTAGGAATACAGATATCAATCAGAGTATGTGTTGTAGGAATACAGATATCAATCAGAGTATGTGTTGTAGGAATACAGATATCAGTCAGAGTATGTGTTAAATTATACAGACATCAATCAGAGTCTGTGTTATATTATACAGATATCAGTCAGAGTATGTGTTGTAGGAATACAGATATCAGTCAGAGAATGTGTTAAATTATACAGGTATCAATCAGAGTCTGTGTTATATTATACAGATATCAGTCAGAGTATGGTTATATTATACAGATATCAATCAGAGTCTGTGTAATATTAAACAAGTATCAGTCAGAGTATGTGTTATATTATACATATATCAGTCAGAGTATGTGTTGTAGGAATACAGGTATCAATCAGAGTATGTGTTGTAATTATACAGATATCAATCAGAGTATGTGTTGTAGGAATACAGATATCAGTCAGAGTATGTGTTGTAATCATACAGATATCAATCAGAGTATGTGTTGAAGGAATACAGATATCAGTCAGGGTATGTGTTGTAGGAATACAGATATCAATCAGAGTATATGTTGTAGGAATACAGATGTCAGTCAGCGTATGTGTTGTAAGAATACAGATATCAGTCAGAGTATGTGTTGTAATTATACAGATATCAATCAGAGTATGTGTTGTAGGAATACAGGTAGCAATAGGAGTTTGTGTTGTAATTTTACAGATATCAATCAGAGTATGTGTTGTAGGAATACAGGTATCAGTCAGAGTATGTGATTAAGACATACAGATATCAATCAGAGTATGTGTTGTAGGAATACAGGTATCAATAGCAGTATGTGTTGTAGGAATACAGGTATCAATCAGAGTATGTGTTGTAATTATACAGATATCAATCAGAGTATGTGTTGTAGGAATACAGATATCAGTCAGAGTATGTGTTGTAATCATACAGATATCAATCAGAGTATGTGTTGAAGGAATACAGATATCAGTCAGGGTATGTGTTGTAGGAATACAGATATCAATCAGAGTATATGTTGTAGGAATACAGATGTCAGTCAGCGTATGTGTTGTAGGAATACAGATATCAATCAGAGTATGTGTTGTAAGAATACAGATATCAGTCAGAGTATGTGTTGTAATTATACAGATATCAATCAGAGTATGTGTTGTAGGAATACAGGTAGCAATAGGAGTTTGTGTTGTAATTTTACAGATATCAATCAGAGTATGTGTTGTAGGAATACAGGTATCAGTCAGAGTATGTGTTGTAGGAATACAGGTATCAGTCAGAGTATGTGATTAAGACATACAGATATTAATCAGAGTATGTGTTGTAGGAATACAGGTATCAGTCAGAGTATGTGATTAAGACATACAGATATTAATCAGAGTATGTGTTGTAGGAATACAGGTATCAATAGCAGTATGTGTTGTAGGAATACAGGTATCAATCAGAGTATGTATTGTATCAATAAGAGTATGTGCAGAAGTTGTACATGTATATATGTTTAAGGTATACATACATGTATATGAGATATATAATATATGTAGGTCTGATTTAAGAGTGTATTAATAATTTTGAATGAGTAATGCTAAAAAGGAGAAATTAATTAATAACAGGTAGGGCACACCTGTATATTGCATGTGCATGTATTTAATTTACATATAACATTTTTTCCAGATATATAGATGATAATGGGCTCCGTGAAAGGTTTGAACACCGTGTTGACGAATGGTTACAAATGGAAATAGACAGCGTCGTGAAAGAAAAACAAGGAAAGCGAGTAGCTAAAACGGTTCGTGATATCTTATTTGAGATCGACGCGAAATATGATGACAGAGCGACCCTGTTAAACATTCTCGACATAGACGAAGAGAATGCTATCTCAATTGCCTCTTATGAAGATGCAGCGCAAGTATCTGATCGATTATGTAAATTGAAATGCGAACAAATCCTATCACATATGAATGGATTAGAAATCAAGATGAGATCAGATGTTGAAAGTTTGGAGGGCCGCACCAATCTTCTTGATTATCTTAAATACTATATGACATTACCAGATTCTCGTGTCAGAGATCAAGCCGCTGAAATTCTAAAAAATCTGATAAAAGCCGTCTTAGAGCGCATTGAGGAAAAATATGATACGAATACAACAACTAATATGCTATCAAGCATGGAAAGAGAAGCACTGCTCTCAATTTTCTATCTCGACATAGTGCAAGGAAATTGGGGTGACGTAATCACATCGTTGTACTGGCGGTTTATGCAAGAAGACGTTCATGGAATGATCAATTTTCTAAGATTCTATCCTTCGCTGTTTTCACTGACAGATGCTGAATACTCCAAAATTACATTTTTTGGAAAGTCAAAAGGCAATGTACCCGAGCAGTTAAGTGAGCTGTCAAACGCACTGTTGCATGCTATAAGATCATACAATGCTGCAAACGGGAGCTACGTCATAGATATCAGGCGGAAAAGCGGTGTTGTTTGATTCTGTGATTATCACTTATGACAGAACTGTTTAAATTCCTTGAAAGATTTACATTTGCAATAACAAGTTTGCATTACATGTGTATGATTTCGGCTGATAGTGCTACATTTGTAAACATTTCCGTATATACAGTGTGTATATGATACATTTGTGTACTTTTCTTTAATATTTAAGCTATGCCCTGCTCTCTATACCATTATACTTTTACCATAATTTCTTAATTGAGATAGACTGATATTATTATTTCGACCAAAACCACGACTTGAAGTGGTTTATTTTGATTTAAATAATATTTAAATACTAATTGATTTACTAAACTGTACACTTCATGTAGTCATTATAATAAAATGCTAGACAATTTTATTGATTCCCAGCGAGAAGTCTTTCTTATGTTACCGACAAGACAAATCAATTAAATGAACACAAAAGATAAAGCATGTTTGAAATATGTATAGTCTTGCGCAGGTGAGAATAGAGACAGATATATATTTTATATTCAAAAGATGAAAATGTAGTAGCAAAAAGACTTAATCTGCAGTAGAAGATGTATATATTGAAATTTATAGCTAAATCCAAACCAGTATCGTAGTGTTTCACCTGTTTTTGAATAGTAAATTCATGAAATAGTTACAGCTCTGGTTAGTTAACTTGCAGACTCTAAATAATGACCTCTTAGTGAACAGTGTACTTTTTGTACATGTTTACAAGTGAAACACTATTATATAATGACAACATCTTTGCTTATTATACGCAATGTAAAACAAGCAAAACTGCTTCAGATTTTGATATTTGTAATTTCATGCATCTCAGTGAGGTAAAAATTGACATGATATGCGAATACTTAAGTATTCATTGGATGTTAATGCACATGTAACAAACCACTTTTGTCAGTGCCAAGTTATTTGAGGTTTAAGCAAAGGAGAGGACTTTGACGGCCATATATAACTTACCTTACTGTGAAGGACCTAACCTTACATATAATATTGATTACTTTGAATAAAACACAGATTAGTATAAAGGTCAACGGACATTAAAGTTCAAATCAACGTATGTAATTGTTGTGTTAGTTCACAGCAGCTTTCAATACAAAAAGTATATGCTAGGTCAACAGTTATTAAAATTCAATGGCATGTCATATTGTTTAAATGGTCAAAATTTCAAAGATAGTTTTGAAAACAATAAGAAGGTAACCTGGTTAAAATTTAGGTAAAGTTATATCAAAGATCAATTCTGGAAATGGAACCATGCACATAGTCCAGATTCCACATGTTTAGCTCTTAATAAAAAAAGTAGCTGCTCACTGGGTCAAAATCTAGATCAACTGATATCAAAATACATTGGCATTTTAAATTTTGCAGGTTATATAAAGTGCCTATATGGGACCAGAACTCAATAATTTCAATAAGTTTGCGTTTAAACACGTGATGTGAGAGATAAATTTAAATGCTTACAACCAACAATTCTTTGAAAGTTTCATGGCCCTAGCAATTATACGTTTAAAGTAACATGCAACACAAGTCTAATAATGCTTAATAAGAAGCTAATACGATGTCAATATTCAATAAATGTGCGCCAAAATACACTGGTGCGTGTAAATTTCTATGTTGACAACTATTCTTAGAAAAGTCCCTAAAGAATGCACAAAACGAAAAACAATGAAAACACTGCCGGCTGGTTAAATTGAGCCTGTTCACAGACGGTGGTGACAAGAGCAAAATATCGTCGCCTCCCTCTAGCACCGACTTAAACAGAAATTAACATAAAATGATAAAAGATTGAGCAGATGTGTTCATATGATGAGTTTTATGGCATCTTCAATGTGACACGTTAGTGCCATTCAATGAAAAGCGGCGTATGGTCCCGAAATAATAACATTATAATGTATTGTATATGGAGAGCTACTAGAGATGTGTTTGTGGAAGATTTTATTAATCCATGCCACGAAGGTCTAAAAGTGGACTTCCTTGTGTTTACTATGTCAAATGATTAATAACTAAAAAGTGAGAACAATGGAAAATTCTATAATTTAACAAAATCTATTTCCATAACTACCATCTCAATAGGTATTGAGAAATTGCTATCCTTGAGTAAGAAAATTTTCACGCATTGCTTCGTACTCAATTCAACGAAGACTTTTATATGCTGCCTGACCGCCGAGAAAGGGCCGATACCATTCCAGGTGTCGTATTTTTTTATTTAAACTTGCATTTTTAATTGAGTTTTAATTTCCTATCGGTAATGTTATTCTTTGTACTACAGAAAAATCTTAAACTATTCAAAAGTAAATGTATAATTTTCTAGGGATACTTGCCAGTATTATTTCTACTATTCATTGGAAATTGACATTGAAAAAAATGTCTCAGATTTTTTATAGTGAACATATAACTGGGAAGAAATCACGCTTGACCAATATAAAGGAATATACATATTTTTACTTAGAGGGAACAAAATTCAGATTTGTTGGTAATCATATGATCTCAGTTACGCATCTAATTTCAAGGTATTTATCATTTCCGTAATCATATCAACTTCATTTTTTTTCTCCGTAGAAAAAGAAATAGTTAACATGCATAATCTCCATATAGTCTACTATCAACATGTCACGGATATATGTGGGTTCTCACTCGGGATGATACGGCGTTCGAAGAGAAACCTGGCACGCAATAATAGAAATAAGGTTTCAGAAAAAACAGCAGCTCTCGCAGTAAGTTTCTCATTTCTTGTGCTATAGGAAATTCCACGTGAAATACATACATAATTCATAGTAATTCATGTTTATAATGCTTTATAACACCAAATTTACCTGTAATTATATGGTCGGCACACAATAATAGAAATAAGGGTTCAGAGAAGAAAACAACAGCTCTCTTTAGACAAGTCTAGTTTTTTGTACTTTTTGTGTTATACGCAGAATCAACATTTCTTGGAACATTAAAAATGAGAGGCAGGCGGAAAGACAGTTAACGTGTACTGTCCACGATCTCCCGCATACCAAGTATCATCCACCTTGTTAGAGGTTGAAAGCAGTAACACAAAACACATTCCAAATAAACAAAATTACAAAATATTCACAGTACCTGAAAAGTTGAAATATTATTGAGCCATGAATAAAATAAATATCTGTTTGATCCTGGTGTCAACTTGTTATATTTCATCACAAATGTACAATATCTTTCAGTAAAATAAACAATAGATAAATAAATTCCTCATAAATATGTTTCCAAAATCAAAAAGAAAAATAAATCCAAAATAATTCTGCAATTTCCCAAAAGAAATCAATGAAAGAAATGCTCAAGCACTTACAGGGAAGTTTCCATTAACCAGTCATAAGAAAAAACGACATACGTTTAGACTCTACTCAAATGTAAATCATAAACAAACAAGTTGAATTATAAAAATAGCATGGTATATTGAACAATTTTTACAAATATACACTTAAAAATATATTAATAACTTACATTTACGATGTGTCAAGAAAAAATATTCAGTATACAAATATGAATACATGTACGAAGGGCATATTTTAATAAGTGGCAACAACTCAATTTAAATATGATTTGCTCGTGAAAGTACATGTTTAACATACCGTTGGAAAGATGATTGAATTTTCTAACCGACAGTCTATTTTGCACGATTTGCACGTGTAATAAAACATTTAGCAGGTCATTTAAAATGTAATTTTCGACGTTTAAGCAAAGCGAATTAGTCGAAAATTGATTTCCCTTGATAACGTAGTTCCGATAGGTGTCGTTTTGCGCACGTTTTGCACGTGCGTATTTTTCAGTGTGTAAGTCATTCAGCTTTGGGATTGACTGTTCGATACATGCGTTTAATTTACTACACGTACATGTACATTTGCTCATCATGACCACGTTGTCTGAAAGTTTCACTTCAGAGCAAAATACGGACTTATCTAGCAGCATAAAAGAATTACTTTCCGAGGTACGTGAACAAAGACATGAAATAAACTCTTTAAAGGATGAAGTTAGAGGTAATTCTTTGTCTTTGAAGTCAGAAGTTAAAATGTTTAAATGTGAACAGGACTTTAAATGGCGATTTGAAGGAAACAAAATTCAGCATCAGTTCAACACTGAATTGTTTGAGAACCTTTCACAAGTTATTTGGGCGCTAGAGAACGGCAAGCAGGACTATGCTCGAGAACTAGTCAATGAATGTTCCGAGTCTCTAAAAAAGAGAAACAAGCACATTCGTATCGCCGATTCAAGTGAGGGTGGTTGGGACACCGTTCGGATGTATGAAAGTAACCCTCTAGCAAGTGATTCAGAGGACGAATCTCGAATCAGTCGTGCATAGTCACGTGCTATGAAAAGGAAGAAGTCGATGCAAAAGACTAAAAAGCGCTTTAGACCGTCTGCTACTGCGACGTCCGATAGTCAGCGTTCCTCTTTGGGGAATATGTTTTCCTTTCCCGGGCAGCAACAACAGCAGCAGCAACAACAACAATGGCAAACCCCTTTTCGTCACTCATCGTTCAACTCGTCATTTCGAGGTGGGGCCCTTGGCCCCTGTTTCGCCTGTGGAGAGTCGACGCATTTCAGACGTAATTGCCCCTACACCAGATATGCTCAACAACCTGACATCCCCGCAAAGAAATGAACTGGTCCATAAAGAAAATGAAATTTAAAGATGTAGATTTCAAAGATGAGTATAGTTCTTATTATAATTTTGAGATTGATCACAGTAGATTCACAGAAAACTTTTTTGAATATGAACAAGGCCAAAAGGATATTATTGTAAGAAATAGATTAAAGTCTCATAATTATTAAATTTTGGTGCGATATTGGTGCGAATCCGTTCATTTTAGATACAATCAAGAATGGATATAAAATTCCTTTCTTTTCTTTGCCGTCGGAAAGGTTTGCTCGTAATAACAGATCTGCAATAAATGAAAGTGTTTTTGTATCTGAGGCTATTAACAATTTATTAGATAGAGGACTTATTATGAAATGTAAATGTGCACCGACGGTAGTTAATCCTCTTAGTGTATCGATACAGAATAATGGTAAAAAGATACTTATATTAGATTTACGTGCCGCTAATTTGCATGTTTGGAAACAATCGGTTAAATATGAGGATTTACGTTTGGCATTAATGTATATTCAAAAAGGTTGCTACATGATAAAATTCGATATACATTCGGCCTATCATTTTGTAGATATATTCTTACCTCATACAGACTTTTTGGGATTTTGTTGGACCGATTTGAATGGCAAATTAATTTATTACAAATTTCTGGTGCTTCCCTTCGGTTTATCATCAGCGTGTTATATATACACCAAGTTAATGCGTCCGCTTATAGCAAAATGGCGGGGTGAAGGAAAGAAAGTTATCATGTTCCTTGACGATGGTTTTGGGGTGGGCGATACTTTAATAAATGCGAATACTTTGTCGCAAGAAATAAAGTCAGATTTAATTTCATCCGGTTTAGTGCCTAAAGTCGATAAATCTTGCTGGGAACCAGTACAGGAACTGCAATGGTTAGGTGCCATTTTGAACTCGCATAACTTTACTATTCATATACCTGCATGTCGAGTTGATAAAGCGTTAAAATGTGTAAATCTTTTATTAAGCGAGAAACGCTTACCTGTTAGAAAAGTCGCCAGTTTTGTTGGCCAGATTATTTCTATGAGTGTGGTGCTTGGCTCTGTTTCTCAAATTATGACGAGGTGGCTAAGTTTAGATATTCTTAAAGCAAACACCTGGAATTCTTATATTGAATTGTCAACAGATAGTATCACTCAATTGTTGTTTTGGAAAAACAATTTACAGCATTTAAATATTAAACAGCTCTCACAATCAAACAATATTGTTCGCGTATAGTTTATAGTGACGCGAGTGGCACTGGGTGTGCAGGTTATGAGGTCGAGACTTGTTCTAGTATAGTGCATGATATATGGTCTCCTTCAGAAATGTTTAAGTCTTCTACATGGAGAGAATTGTGCGCTGTTTATAAAGTGTTGTTAGCTTTAGTAAAAATACTTCGTTATCAACGAGTCAAATGGTTTAGTGACAATACAGGTGTATGTAGTATAGTTTCAAAAGGCTCGATGAAACCTGAGTTACAAGATTTATCTTTTAAGATATTTAAATTTTGTATGGAAAACTGTATTCAGTTAGAAATTGAATGGTTACCCCGAGAAAAGAATGATATAGCTGATTATTTTTCTAAAGTTATAGAAAGAGATGATTGGGGCATATCTTTACACATTTTAGATTTAATTCAATGCAGGTGGGGTAATTTAGAAATTGACTTTTTTGCTTCTAAACACAATGCAAAACTTGATTGTTTTTACTCAAGATTTTTGTGTGAAGGTACCTCAGGTGTTGATGCCTTTACATATAACTGGGGAAATGTATTTGGTTTATTTGTACCACCAATTATTTTGATACCACGTGTTTTGTGTAAAATGCAAGCATGCCGTGCACGAGGTGTTTTGATTGTACCTGAATGGAAATCCGCTAGTTTTTGGCCATTGATATGTTCCAAAAATGGACTTTTTCAATCATTTGTAATAGATTATCTTATTTTACCTTCGGGTAAAAATTTCTACCAGCCTTGTAAAAACGAATCAGGCTTATTTGGTATAGAGGACTTAAAGTTTAGAATGTTCGCTTTACTTATATGCTTTAATAAGGCAGACTAAATGTGTCACGGTAAGGCTGTGTCCCTTGAGTGGTTAAACTTTGAACAATCGTACTTATTATGGTTTTGTGTGTACATTTATTTTTTCAGAGATATGCATGTGAAGTTGATGGCTTGCCGGATGTCTTGGTGGAGAAGGTGTCCTCGTTGCCCGAGCTGTTAAAACAATCTAAAGCGGATAGTACATATCTTAGTTACAAGAGAGGATTTAACCGTTGGCGTAAATGGGTAATTTCCAATGGGCTTAATAGCGGGGAGGCCTTGCCCGCCAAGGCATTTCATGTAGCGTTATATATAGTGTCATTAATACAAACTGCAAATACTATAAGTCCAATTTTAAATGCTGTATATAGCATTAAGTGGTATCATGATTTGTTTGAATTTCCTTCACCAACAGACTCTAGATTAGTGAAAAATGTCGTAGAAGGTGGAAAACGTAAACTTGCTAAGCCTATACATAAGAAGGAACCTATGGCAGTAGAATTGTTGCATAAAATGTTCAGTCATATGTACGCTGAGAAAAACATTATGAATCAAAGATTTATATGTATATGTTTAATTGCATTTGCTGGTTTTTTGAGATCCGCTGAAGTGTTGAAGTTAAAGAGAAGTGATATTTGTTTTTATGATTCATACTTAAGTATTTTTATTGAATCAAGTAAAACCGATAAGTATCGTGAAGGAGTATGGGTATTAATAGCCCGAATCGGCACGTGTTTGTGTCCGGTTGCTAATTTAGAAAAATATATTTGTTGGACGGGTATCCGTCCTGATTCAGAATGTTTTCTGTTTGGGCGTCTTACTGCTACTAAAGATGGCCATGTGCTAAGGAATCAAGATAAGCCTTTATCTTATAGTAATTTCCGAGATTTGTTTGTACAGACGTTTAAAAAGTTAGTTGATGATGTAAATAAGTTTTGTAGCCATTCTCTAAGGGCAGGAGGAGCTACTGCTGCTGCTAATAATGGCATACCTGATAGGTTATTTAAGCGCCATGGGAGATGGCATAGTGAAACCGCAAAAGATGGTTATGTAAAAAGTTCAGTTGATGAGAGACTCAGAGTTTCAAAATATCTTGGTTTATGAATGTACGAACCTTTACATTGCAGCCCGTTCTTTTAGGTTCAGCCAGTCAGTCCCACTGCGAGACCAAAAAATACAATGAAGTTAGTTGTTTTGTTTCTTCCTGTCGGATGTAGTGGTTAAGGGAATACATGTGATTTTGTATACTGGTTTGTAAACATGGCTGAGTTGCATTATGATATGAGAGAGGATCAAAGAGCTTATTGCAAAATTCGTAGGGTATTGGGTAAATGCGCGTTAGAAATAAAAACGGATCTTGATTAGTTTTTAGTGTCCAACTTTATTTGTCATCCAATGAAAACGCTGTATTTCTTAAAAATTCTGTGCGTTAATTTTCATAGAAGTACAAAAGTCGATACTATTTCGAATTCTGTCCATAGTCGACTTCTATTTTTCATAGTACTTCATAAAACCACATAGTGACGTAATTAAGTGAATGATAATGAGGCCAAATAAAGCTTGACACTAAATATGTTAGTATTCATCCGTGCTGTTCTACAGAAATTAGAAACATTCTCCTGTCGCTATCGCTCCCGTCGAAGTTTCTAATTTCTTTAGAACAACACGGATGAACACTAACATATACATAGAGAAAATGCCCTTCCATATCGTATAATTGACAGGTGGGTGTCAATGTTTTAGGAAGTTAGAACTTATGTTAACTTAAAGGATGATCCCCGCCTTGTGCGGCGAATTTCCGCTACCTCTAAAAAAAAGAAATATGCACTGTCTAAGACATTGTTTATGAAGATACAAGATAAACCTTGGAGGATATAAGTGACGCCTCAGTGCGTCATATGTGTTTTCCATCTTGGAAGAAAAGTTAGTCAAGGAAAGCGTGCGCCCGTTGAATCTCGCATTTTGCTAACTTCTGACCAGAAAAGGGAGCGGGTTGAAAAAGTCTCGGCCTTATTGACTAGGTTTAAAGGTCAAGACCCTAGACGCCTGAGAGAAACTGTCAAGGGGAAGAAACCTGGCTTTATTTTTTTTTAAATCCCGACAATTAACTTAGTAACAAAATGTGGGTAGGCGAAAACAGTAATCACCTAGTTGTTGCTCGACGTAGCAGGAGCGTTAAAAAGAGTTTTGTACGCTCTATTTTTTAACAGTGATAGACTAGTTGCCCGTGTCGCTGTGCCTGAGAGGGGTAGTGTCCCGTGACCATGTTCTCATCGCTGCAGTTAATCACTATATTACAAAGAACCCAAGGTCCGGGGTGCGCAGGATCAAATAACACTATGATAATGCACCTGCTCACCGGTCCGTCTTGGTTCAAGCTTATTTAGAGGAGCAGAGAATTGACCTTTTGCTACATCCCGCTTATAATCCTGATCTTTCTCCATGCGACTTTCGGTTAAATCCATATATCAAATCTTCTCTTCGCGGTCTCTGGTTCGAAACCCGTAGTGCCGTCGGAAGCGCTCTATTCCAGCGTATAAACAGTATACCCAGAAATCAGTTCAAAATTGCTTTTTCGGAATGGAATCTGAGGAAAGGTCCATGATGAATATTTTGAAGGAATCTATTGATCATTTTTCACAGGTATGAATTATTAAAAAAAGCGCTGTCGTTGCCACTAATTAAAATATGCCCATTGTATTATTTCAGTTACAAGTAATAAAATATTAATAAAACAAAAAGCAATTTTATATACACTATGATATTCATTGGAATATCTTTCAAATGATAAATCTTATGTTTAGTTTGTATTCCTTGTGAAAGTATCTCCACTTCAGTAACAGTGAATTTTTGGTTTTTAGTTTATGTAAGAAAGTGAAGGGATTATTATGGAAGCCTTGGAGGGTCACTTTTGAGTTTCGACTTATAGATTTATTTTACTATTTTCTTATGACTTTTGATTTGTGACTTTTGATTTATGACTTTTGATTTATGACTTATGGATTTTGTTATTGTCCCACGTGCTTGCCTCATAATTTCCAAGGAAAATATGGCAGAATATGACAACGATTCAGACGAGGTAAGTTCATTTACCTAAGTTTCCTGGAGACTTATTTAAAAAACAAAATATGTGGGCTCATATGCAAGAACAGAATGTTATTCTTATATAAGCCTTTTTAATTGATTAGGAAAAGAAAATACTTTGCTTGCATTGCATTGCATTGCATTGGTATCCATTTTTTATTTTGATTTCCGGAACAGGCATATATAATCTCAAATTGACATACAGCGTATGAATCAAACGCTTTATTTTTTATATGGGTTCCAGTTTTAAATCCAAATAAGTCTCGCATTGTTGTTTGCTGCAGTTTCAATCGGTTTTCACCCGTAGTTCATTCTTCGTCCATCTTATATTGAATATAGACCAAATTATAGGCCTTATTTTGACAAAGAAATTTATAGTTAAGAAGTTTCATGAAAAATGGTATTTCAAAAACAATAAATCATACAGCTTTGAAACTTCACACACTTGTTTAGAACACGCTCTAAGTTAGAAATCTCTGAATTTCATTGTTATCAAATTATGCCTCTTTTTCGACTTTGAATTTATGGTTTAGAATTTTCATGAAAAATGGTTTCTCAAAAACTATTTTAACGATTCCTTTGAAACTTTAAACACATATTAAGTGTTAACATCTAAGGTCAATGACCAAGTTTCGTATGAGTGGCTCACAATTTGACATACTTATGCCCATTTTTAAAGCTAAAATGTTTTGTCAGAAGGTTTATGAAATATGGTCCCATAAACCAGTTATGATATAATATTGAAACTTTATACACTTGTTCAGTATCAATAACTTAGGACACCTACCAAGTACAAAGTACATGTTATTTGTATATAAACTTTTGTATACAGTTATGTATTAAGGGATTTTTTGTATTTCATTTTGTATATATATGTATTTCATTTCAATTGAGATAAAACATACTTTTAATGTTTTTAATTTTAATTCTAGTAAAGCTACCTGTAGGAATTAAGGACGTGCTGTCGAATGGTTTCATCTATACAAAGCAGTTGCAAGAGCATCAGCAATACAATTTGTCAAGTTTTCGGAGCCAGTTTAGAAGACTAAGAGGTTTCATTGCAAAACAGCGTTCCTTCCGAGTGGAAAGTAGTACAGTTTAGCAAATGCACAATGTCCAAACACTGGTGATTTGGTTTTATTCGTTATTGTCTATGGAATTATTCAGTCATTTTCGGAATACGAGTGTTACTTTTTCACACTTGTTTCAGACGCTCGATAATTTTCAAGTTTTAACCCCATTACTTATTGTGGACGCTTTATTGGAAACGTCTTATCCTGTCCATATCACCAATATGGTATAAAACTTGTATCGATAGACAGGTTATGGTGAGACAGAGAAAAGTGTAAAAAATCATGAATTCATAATTCTGGCTTTCATAATTTTCAGTATTTGGCCTTTGTTAATTTTAAAACTTCGAAATCAAACTTTGCATGTTCATATAGCTTGGCGAGGCAGAAAGAAACATACTTCTTGCTTTCATAGCTAACATATATTTAGGAACTCCCCTTTGTTGTGTGGTTTTTTTTTTCATACTTAGATTTTGTTAAACTTAGATTTTGTTAAACAAAAACTGTTGAAGGCATCAACTTGAATTTACTGGCAGATATGTCTCGGCGAGACGGAGTGCATTGTGTTGTTAAAGAAAATTTGATTATAACATTTAATCGTTCTCTTAAGTTACACATTCCCTTTTTCGACATGCTGTGGGTTGGGGTAAGCTCATTACAAAAGACTATAAGATTTCCATTACATATAAAGTCGGTCATTCTCGAAAAAAACCAAAAAACTTGTGGACGTTATTTAAAATATACATTATACAATGTATACATTTTCTTAAAGATAACTTGGAAATTTTTAGCTAGAGACTATGTTTGTTTTTTCTTTTTCTCTCTTTTGAACATTTAGAAATGAAGAAATAACGCTCTGAAAATGATTTTAAAAATCATGACTTCAATAATAATAATACAGACACTCTAGCGTTGCTAGTTTACCTAATTTATCTTATCTTTTCAAAATCTTCGTTAGAACACTCATGATTTCTTAGTTTTTCATCAGTAACGTATCAACAATGTGTTGTTTTGTAGAAATATTGCATGTATATATGTCTTCTGTGATGTAAATACTTGAAGTTTTTGTTGATGGCAGTGTTTATTTTTTGCTGTTCCTTAGTGTTTTAAGTAAGGCATATGTGCTATTTTAGAAACAAAATGCTTACCTCTGTATTTCTTATCTCTGTTTTAAATTAAATATAATGAAGCTCAAATGCAGTTTGTTTTTGCATATCTAATACAATTGTTTTCTTATAAGACAGCAATTTTGTTAAACAAAATAAAGCACGTTTGAAGAATAAACAATGTTTGTTGTTATCTGTTTAAACGTATTTATTCCAAAACAGTATTGATAGCTCTGCCAACCTGTCACGGTCTAGACCGTGAGGTAAAAACGTTTGGTAGTGTGGTCTCTCGGTAGAGGTATATTTTGGTAGTCTGTTGAGGGAGTTGGCTGGTTCCACACAGTTTACTTCTGTAGTGATTGCTATTCTATTTCTACTTTGCTCATTTCAACCTCTTACTTATAATTTAAATGGAACACTATCTCTACATAGATTAAAACAATCTCTGTAACATTTATATACTGTTTATTTCGGTGGTAAATTAAAAGTTTATTTTGATTATAACAAAGTTACAATAACACAATAATAAATTGTCAACAAATGAGGATTTTATAATGCAAAAATGAGGCTGCTGGCTAAATGTACTTGTAAACATTATATGATTTCAACACCACTCTCGGCTGATGTGCCCCCTTGCGTTTGGTGATTGTATCACAAATATGCTTATTTTCATTAATCTAAAATCAAGTAAAACTAATGTTTACTACTAAAAAGTAGCAGAAAATAGCAAAAGTTATAAGTCAAAAGTCAAAAGATAAAAGTCATAAGTAAAAAGTGATAAATTATAAGTGAAAAGTCACAAGGCAAAACCTAAAAAAAACGAGAAAATAAGTCAGCATTTATA